TCTCCCTATAGCCCCAGCTGGCCTGGAACTCGCTATGTAGACCAGGCTGGCATGGAACTCACAGAGATCCACCTGCCTCCCAAGTGCTGAAATTAAAGGTGTGCACCACCATGCTCAGCTGCTGTTCCTGTTCTTTTAGGCAGGGTCTGAATAGTCCAGGCTGACAGAGAACTCACTTTGTAGCCCAAGCTGGCCTCAAACTTCTTGCAACCCTCTTGCCTTAGCTTCCTGAGTGTAGATTCTTTTTTTTAGGACAGGTTTTTCTTGTAGCCCCAGCTGGCCTGGAGCTCACAGAGATCCACCTCCCTCTGCCTCCCAAGTGCTACAATTAAAGGCATGCACCACCATGCCTAGCCCAAGTGCAGATTCTTCAGGTACTCACTGTCTGGCACATTTCTGCTTTGTTTTTGTCTCTGCACCCAGTTACATCTTTATGATACTCATGCATCTATGAAATAATTCCCCAGCACCACTTTCCCTGCTACCCCCTTAGGCTAAGAACTAGCCTTTGTGACCTCTGATTTGACATGAGGGGGCCATCTCTGTGTACCACTTTCATCTTACGTACCTATCATTTTCTGGAGTAGCAGTGAATTGCCTTTTCCAAAGAGCACACAGAGGTCCAGGATCTTTGGGATGTCAAAGAGGAAGTTATTGTAGAGAATATCTCCAAATGCAGAGGGAGAAATGAAGTGATCCTAAGGGAAAAAGGCAGAGAAAGGGTGGAGGCTTTCTGAGTGTGCAGAAATAGCAAATTCTACACCTTTAATCCCAGCACTGGGGAGGCAGAGGCAGACGGATCTCTATGAGTTCAAGGCCAGCCTGGTCTACATAGTGAGTTCCAGGACAGCTGGGGCTACAGGGAGACCCTGTCTCAAAAAGACCAAAAAAAAAATTTATTTTTATTTTATGTGTATAAGTGTTATTTATGTATCTTTGTCCTTTTTGAGACAGGGTTTCCCTGTAGCCCCAGCTATCCTGGAATTCACTATGTAGACCAGGCTGGCCTTGAACTCACAGAGATCCCCCTGCTTCTGCCTCCTGAATGCTGGGATTAAAGGTATGTGCCACCACGCCCAGCTGAGTGTGTTATGCCTGCATGTAAGTGCATCCTGTGTCCTACAATGCCCTTGGAGGTCAGAAGAACGTGTCAAATCCCCTGGAACTGGAGTTACAGGCGGTTGTTAGCTGCCATGTGGGATTCAAACCCCCGTCTTTGCAAGACTAATCAGTGTTCTTAACCGCTGAGCCATTTCTCTAGCCCCAATAATAGCAAATTCTTTAGAAACAACCTTGATGGCCATCAGCTGGGAACAGGATAATCAATGATGGCATGCCCATACTGTGAATTTGTCCGAGCCTTATGAACAGACCCTGAGCAATAGAGATTCCCCATTTTCATGTAAACAGAAGCAAAAACACATAGTGAGTCAGCTGGAGGTTTGTTTTGAAATATTTATGGTTAAATCAGCATGATGTCTGGAATTACATAAAAATATGCTAAGAAAATGGGTCTGGAGAGATGGCTCAGCGGTTAAGAACACTGGTTGTTCTTGCAGAAGACCCAGGTTCGAATCCCAGCACCCATATGGGAGCTAACAACTGTCCGTAACTCCAGCCCAGGGGATCCAACAGCCTCTTCTGACCTCCGAGGACATTTCACGACACGGGTGCACTTACCTACCTGCAGGCAATACACACATACACATTAAATAAAAATAATAAATAAAATTAAAAAGAAATACTCTAAGAAAATAAGAAAACTTTGAAAGAGATTAAACAAGGCTAGCAAAATGCTGATAAGTATTCAAGCTTCAAGATAAGAGACATAAGATTCACTATTCTGTGCTTTTACATAAGTATATGCATATATTTGAAATTTAATTATAATTAAAATATAATTTAAAAATTAAGCCGGGCATGGTGGTGCACGCCTTTAATTCCAGCACTTGGGAGGCAGAGGCAGGCAGATCTCTGTGAGTTCAAGGCCAGCTTGGTCTACATAGCGAGTTCCAGGACAGCTGGGGCTTCAGGGAGACCCTGTCTCAAAAAGACACCCCCCAAAAATTAAGATCCACTGGGCGTGTTGGTGAATGCTTGTAATATCAGTATTTAAAAAAAAATATTTTGTTATTTTTATTTTATGTGTCCGAGTGTATTGCCTGCATGTGTGTGACTGCACTCATGTTGTGCAATGCTGTGGAGGTCAGAAGAGGGCTTCGGATTCCCCTGGAACTGGAGTTAAGAACGGTTTGTAGCCACCATGTGGGTTCTGGGAATTGAACCCGAGCAGTCAGTGCTCTTAACCAATGAGCCATCTCTCCAGCCCTGTAATATCAGTATTTAAAGGCTGAGGTAGGAGGATGGTGAATTGAAGGTTGGCCTGGACTACACAGGGAAGATTCTACCTTCAAACAGACAAACAGTCCAACAGAGTAAGATAATTTTTTATTGTGCTGCCAGGGATCATATCTAGGGCCTGTGTATGCTAGACAAGCACTGTAGCACTCAACTATACCCCCAACCACAAGATACAAAATTCATTCTCTCTTCTCTACCAAGGGATACAAATTCCCTGAAGGAAGGGCTGGAGGGATGGCTCATTGGTTAAGAATACTTCTTGTTTCTTTTTTTTTTTTTTTTGGTCTTGCCTCTGCCTCCCAGTGCTAGGATTAAAGGTGTGGACCACAACATCTGGCATGAATACTTGCTGTTTTTGCAGAGAACCAGAGTTCAAATTCCAGCACCCAAATGGGTTCTTAGCCCACAACTGCCTGTAACTCCAGCTCCAGGGGGACCTGAAGTCTCTAGCCTCCACAGGCACTTGCGCTCATTACACACACCCACATACAGACATATACATACATAATTTAAAATGATAAAAATAAATCTTAAAAAAATTAAAAATTCCCTGAAGGAACATGAACATTAACCGTAATAACTTTGAGTGCTGGCAAGATGGCTCAGCAGTTAAGAGCACTGACTGCTTGTGCAGAGGACCCAGGTTTGATTCCCAGTATCACAAGGTGGCTAACAACCATCCATAACTCCAGTTCCAGGGGATCCGACAGCCTCTTCTGTTCTCCGTGGGCACTGCACGACACGGGTGCACTTACCTACATGCAGACAATACACACATACACATAAAATAAAAATAATAAATAAAAAGTATTAAAATAAAAGATGGTTCAGTGGGTAAGGCACTTAAGCCTGACAACCCAAGATTGATCCCCAGGAACCACAAGGTGAAAGGAAACAACCAACTCCTGCAAGTTGTCCTCTGACTCCTGTGCCCACACATACACACAGATATAAATAAACGTAATTTTTAGAAAAGGTAGTGACTTTATGACAGGATTTTTGTGACATTTATTATCTTTCTAATATTTCTGTAATGTTTGAATTATTAAAGACAACATTATTTATTTTTTAAATAAGAAAATAATCAATGATTTTTTTTCAGTATTAGGATGAACCCTCACTCATGCCAGGCAAGTGCTCTACCACTGAGCCAGTAAGGATTTTTGAAAAGTGCACATGCTGGGTATGGTAGCACATGTCTTTAGTTTCAGCACTTGGGAGGCAGAGGTAGGTATATCCCTGTGAGATCAAAGCCAGCCTGGTCTACATAGTTAGTGCCAGGCCAGCTGGGGGTACAGGAAGATCCTATCTCAAAAAGACCCCCCCAAATAAAAATAAATAAATAAGTGCATGCATGAGGGACTGGAGAAATAGCTCAGCAGTCAGGAGCATTGGCTGTTCTTGCAGAGGACCTGAGTTCAGTTCCCAGCACCCACACTGGGTGGCTCACAACACAGTTAACTACATTTCCAAGGGATCTCAAAACCTCTTCTGGTCTCAACAGGCACTCCCACACATGCATACATATATACACACACACAGACACTAATAAAAAATAAATCTTAAAAGAGCCTGCTTGCCAGGCATGGTGGTGCATACCTTTAATACTAGCCTTGGGAGGCAGAGGCAGGCAGATCTCTATGAGATCAAAGCCAGCCTGGTCCACATAGTGACTTCCAGGCAGGCTGGGACTAGGGAGACCTTGTCAAAAAATAAAACCAAAAACAAAAGCCTCCTTATATGAGTCCTTTAAAAAGTCAGATCAACATTGTTACTCTGACACATGAGTAAAGACATGGTGACGCATTAACTGATAAGGGCTCTCAGCTCCCACTGATGAAAACACTGGGTATACTTCAGACAGGCTGGTGGATTAGAGGATAAGGAAGGTGGCACAGATTTTTTTCCCAAATGATAGGAATAAAGAGGGGAGACAAAGAGGAAACTCGACACTTGTAGAGCTTTCTTTCCCAAGGGTGGAGAGCCTGGCAGAGGTGTCGGGTGTTAGGCAGTGGCAGGTGACGACCTGTCACAGGATCAGAGGCTTACTTTGGATTCCTTGTGGGTGGACATGCGAAGGAAGGTGAGGAAAACACTCCGGTGTAGGTGCTTCTGCATGTCAGCAACCTCAGGGGTTGGGGCCTCCCACTCATCAAACTTTCGGGGGACATAGCGCAGGTAGGAGTCCAGGCACTTCTGCAGGGTCTCATCAAAGATAACCTAAGCCAGGTGACAGAGGAGAGCCAAGATTGATCCTTGAGGCCCAAAAGGCTTGTAGGTAGACTACACAGGGTCTCATGGCCCATCAGCCCTGGCCTACTGCAAACATTCCAACCCCAAGGGACTAGGGAGGTACGAATGAGCCCAGGGCTAAACACAAGTTTCTAAAAATGACACTCGGATGGTGTGTAAACATTAATAAGATTTGTGAAATGAGACAGCAATCCAAACCGCAATTTGCTGTTAGGGATCCAGGATAAGAAGTAGACAAAAAAGCATCTCCTAGGGGAGAAAAAAACAATAGCAACCAACCAACAGCATGTCATGTGCTTTGTCTTAGTGTTAATTTTGATAGAATGTTACCTGGCACCAGAATTTATCGTGAGGCAAGGCCAGGAGCCAGTCGAGGTCATTGGCTACGAAGTTGGCGCGTTCCAGGTACTCCTCCACTAGGGCGGGAATGTTGTCTTTAGGGGGCGGTTTGTATAACACAAAATACCGGTCTGCCTTCTGCTCGGGGTGCTACGGATCCAAAAACCACGTGTTAACGTGGCAAAGGTTAGTCAGCGAGGGCCCATTTGCCAACCCACAGCAATGACAGCACTTGGCTGTTCCAACCAATGACCCTCCGAGGAGCTTATAATTATAAAGAACCAAGTGTATCTAACAAAAGGGGCATGGTTGCACCCAGGGAACACAAGGCGGTTGTTAAAAGTCATGTTCTTGTAGCATTTTTAATGACAAGGGGAAAGGTTAAAGGAAAAGAAAGAAGGACACAAAATTCTAAACAGGTCTGTATTTTTTTTAAAAAATCTATATATTCATATGTTGGTACAGATTTTTAAAAATGAGGTAGGGGGACAATTTTCAAGGCTAATAGTGGTTATCATGGGATTTAGGAATTGTGGCTTGAATATATTTTCCAATTTTTAAATAATGAACATGCATTTTAAAATAATTTTTAAATGATCCAAGTGACAAACAAACATCTTTTCTTTCAAATACTTAAAATGTGGGTTGAGGGTGTATGTAGCTCAGTGGCAGGGCTTGGCATGTGTGAGGCCCTGGGTTCAATCCCCAAGAAAGAAAGAGGGGGGAAGAGGAGGAGGAGGAGGAGAGGGAAGGGAACAAGGAGGGGAAATAGGATACAGAAGTGGGTCTCCTAGTCCCCATGACCTCCCAGAGAAAACCAATCACCATCTTCTGGGGATACTAGCAGACCCAGCATTGGAGGCAGAGGCAGGCGGATCTTTGTGTGTTCAAGGTCAGCCTGGTCTACATAGTGAGTTCCAGGCCAGCTGGGGCTACAGGGAGAGCCTGTCTTAAGGAAAAAAAAAAAAAAAAAAAAAAGCAATGTGTTGGGACTGGAGAGATGGCTCAATGATTAAGAGCACTGAGCACTGGCTGCTCTCGCAGAGGACTGGGTTTGATTCCCAGCACCCACATGGCAGCCAACAACCATGCATAACTCCAGTTCCAGGGGCTTCAATGCCCTCCTTTGACATTTGTGGGCATTGCACAACATGGGTGTACTTACATACATGCAGGCAATACACTCATACACATAATAAAAATAAATAAATAAAATATTAAAAAATAAAATACAGCAATGTGAAATATTTGTTTGGGTCTATTTTTCCTTTTATATAACCAGAAAAATAACCTCACGATTTTTTTTTTAAATTCTAATCAATGGGAAGCAGAGGCAGGCAAATCTCTGTGAGTCCAAGGCCAGCCTGGTCTACATAGTGAGTTCCAGGCTAGCTGGGGCTACAGGGAGACCCTGTCTCAAAAAGACCAAAAAAAAAAAAAAAAAAAAATCTAATCAAGTAGCTGCAGGTCTCAGCTTAGAGTCACAAGATCTCTCCCGGCTCTGACCATGCCATGAACAAACCCTACTTTGTTCATCATAAAGAAGAGAAGATGGGCTCAGTTTTCACCCCTGCCTACATGAAGGTAGCTTTCTCTGGAGGAAGTTGTAATAGGAGGAGGGCCAGATACTGCCTCTGCTGCTATCAGTTACAGCCTCCCACTCCAGAGTGGCTCTAGAACTATCAAGACTAATGGGTCAATCTCCTCAAGAACCTCTTAGGACTTCAAGAAATGTGGAGTCTGCAAGTTCCATAAGGACTGTCATGGTCATTTAGCACGAGTCTCTGGGACCCTCTCCCATTCAAATACCATTTATATAGTGATATTCCAGGTACTAATCTGCTCTATCTATTGACACTATTTACAGGACTCCTACTGTACCAGGTATGGGGGGGGCATATGAATAAAAGCATACAGATGCCGCAGGTCTCAGCTTATGATCTCAAGTTCTCTTCAAGTCACAAGGTTCATCTTCACAGGAGAAGATGCACATCTAAGCCACCAAGGGAACCCTGAACAGAGAAAGTGACAACTCAAACTTGAGAAGTCATGGGAATCAAGGAGGGAATGAATAGCCTCTGGAGGAGAAAGGATGCTTCTCAGGAGAGGCAGCGTCTAAGCTGAGACTTGGCAGGGGAAAAGGATTTTTAGGTGAAAGAAAGCATTTTTAGGAAGGTATAAAAAAACAGCCATAGAAAGCTCACAGATAGAACTGGGCACTGGGAGATAGGCTTAGAAGGTGACAGAATGACAACAAAAACCACCACTTACTATGCCAGGTGTGGAGTAGGCATGTCATATACCCTAAATCCACTTAATCCATAACCAACTAAAAGGGAGATGGCATTCTCCCCATCTTAGAAGAGAAAATGAAGCCTCTGTAGAGTCCAGGACTTTCCTAATATCATGGAGTTAAGAAGGCAACTGAGGCAAAGCTTACACTGCAGACCAACTATATGACCTATGACTATATGCATTATACTGGTCTCACTGCTTGTCATTCTGATCCCAGCTCTGGCCTCACTTCTTTCAGGAATTGTCCATGACTCTCACTTCAGCTGGACTAGGCTTCACTGTGGCTCTATCCAGCACCTGCATTGTACTTATCTGACTGTGCCACTTGCATCAAAAGCACTTTTATGATCAATTGCTCTTGGAGATAGGGAGAGAAGGCATGGATTATAGAAGGGTACAAAGTAACTTTTAGTGGAAGTGAAAATGTTCATTATCTGAACTGTGGTGATGGTTTCATCGGTATATTACCAATGTCAAAATCAATCAAATTGTTGACTTTAAGTACATATAGTTTACCATCCTTCAATGAATCCTCAAGTTAAAGCTAAGCTCATTTATCTCTACTGTCTCCCTAACTAGTTGCTGGGGGCACCCAGAACCTTGCTTGCTACCACATTTCTAGTTCTTACGATAGTGCTTGGCATTGAGAGGACACCACACATATTCACTGGCTAGACAAAGGAATGAATGAAGGTAATAAATGGGTACATCCTGCCATGGTCTTTGAAGGACTTTGAATACCAAGTTCAGTAAGAGGGAACTCTTCACTCTGCAGGTAGTGAGGGGCCATGGATGGTTTCAGTAGCAGGCCCCAATTATTCTCTCCTACCCAAGTTTATCCTACTTTTCAATAAGCCAGGCTTATAGCCTTCCTGCTCTGAAAAGCTAAAAGAACATTCAATGCCCATCAAACCTCCATATCTTGATAAGAACTCATTTTTTTAAAAAATTTTTTTATTGTTCTTCGATGGTTCTACTTACACAAATCTTGCCTTCTAGAGCACATTTACCCCTAATGGCCCAACACTATTTCTTACAGGTCTTCAGGTACATGCTACTTGAATAGTAACTACTCAATAAACATTAATTATCTCTACCTATCACTGTAGAGGCACTATAGTGACTGCTCCTTGGGCGGAGATCTTTGTACCCCAAGTTAATATGCAAAAGACAAAACCCTGTTCATATCTCAGGATAATCTTTCAGAAGCTTTTCTGTAGCCTGTAGGTTAATGTTCTTCAGTATAAGCAAGTTTTTTCTTCAATCAGAGCTTTGTCTTCCTCCACTTATCCCTTTTCCCACCTAGTCTGCCCCTCAATGCTGCTGCCACTGTCGTTACTGTCATCACCATCATAAATGAAGTTTGAGTACTTACTCTGTGCCAGGCACAGTGCTAATTCACAGATATTTCTTTTACTCTTCACAGTCACCCCACCAAGCTTGGCCCATTATTGCCATTTTTTGGATTCCAAGGCTTAGTGAGGTTAAGTAACTTGCCAAACATGTATTAAACTAATGCAAAGTCTTTGATCATTATTTCCCTCAGGACTCCAGCACAGCATCCCGAGGTTCCAGTCAGGGCCTTCCTTTTTTTGCTCTGTCCATGTATAGCTCATTGCCCTTCAATACCCAGTTTGGAATCTCTCTCCTCCAGGACTCCATCCCTGGCTGTATGTCCCTTCCACTAGCCAAAGATCTTCCTTCCCCTACCCCAAACCATGGTCTGAATTAGCAGTCCTGGCTCTATATTCATGTTGCAGTCTAGTATTCTTCCTATCATAACCTCATCATACTATTAAAAAGCTATTGGTCCTAGGCTGTGGACCCCACAAAGGCAGTACCATATGTTTTTTTCTTTGTTGTAGCTCTCATCAGGCACTAGGCCTGGCTGTGGTCCCTGACTTGCTGAAATGTTTCCAGGGAGCCTACTGTGTGCTTGTCACTGAGAAGCCAGGCATTAAGGGAAAGGACCAGTTCTCTGCTCTCCCAGGGCCCACAACTAATACCTTGGGTGTTCACTCAGTACTCAGGGAAAGACTGAGGGGAAAATCAAGACTCAACCACTCAAGCCTCCACCAGCACTATCAAACAGAACATTCTTCAAGAGTGGAACTGCATCAGCTCTACATCTGCCTGGCCAACACTGTAGGGTGCGTATATGGGGCATTTCATTTATATTAAATATAAATCCAGTTCCACAGCCTACAATTCAAGTGCTAATCACACTGCAGTAGCAACATATGGTGTATATTATCTATTTGGTGGTTATTGTACTGAACAGCATAGTTCTAGCTTTTCTGACAAAAGCCCTTCATGTATAAAAATGTTATGAAAAGGAAAACAAGCAGCATTACAGCAAAACAGTTAAGGGCATGGGATTCTGGGATCAGACTGGCAAGAATTTCATTCTGGCTCTCCTGATTTCCTGGTTCTGTGACCTTGAACTCTCAGTTTCCTATCTGTAAAATGGGGAACAATCAAAAACATCCATTCACAGGGCTGTGATGTAGCTTAAATAAGATAATCTGAGTGACTAGAATGGGCTGGCCCACACTAAGTACTCTCAGCTCCCATTTCCCATGACTTTATTCAAACCTCTAGAAAATATTTCCTCCCACCTTTTGTAAGTAAGCTCATATTCTTGGGAAATCTACAAGTGGGTGCAGGGACTCAAGTCTCCATGTCTGTCTCTTTAGTAGCCTGGCACCTCTCCATGGCTCTAATCTCTCTCTGCTGCTAGGAATTGGCACATTCACAGCCTCCTTAGTTTTCAGTCTCACAAGCCTTGTCTGAGTCTCTGTATGTGGCACTTGTCCCAGGAGAAATAAAAGACCTGCCCAACCTCTGAAATCACTGTTCCCACAGAAGTATGAGTAACAGCTTAGATTTTTTTTTTTTTTTTTTTTTTTTTTTTTTTTTGTCTTTTTTGAGACAGGGTCTTCCTGTAGCTCCAGCTATCCTGGAACTCACAAAGATCGGCCTGCCTCTGCCTCCTAAGTGCTGGGATTAAAGGCGTGAGCCACCATGCCCGGCTGATTTTTTTTTTTTTTAAAGTCCTACAGGAAAGCCTGTCCCCCGAAAGGTCCAATCACCAAACCTAGCTTTACATCCATTTCTAGCCCAGCTTAGACTAAATCAGAACTGCCATTCGACTGATAGGAAATTAAATGCTTTGGGTAGAAGGGGATTTGACATGGAAACTGCTCAAATTTGGGCTGCTGCTTAGAAAACTTCAACACTAGATTTGCAAGGCCCTAGTAGTGTCTCAACAATTGAATTACCGACCATGGCCCTTGGGTCATTCTTGGAATAGATAAGGAATTTATTTTTTGCTTCTGAAATTGTAAGATTGATCCTATCAGACTGAACAGCATCAAGGCATCGGCTCACCAGTGCTGGTGAAGTCCTCGTCTTTCCTGTCTTCAGGTCTTTGTGGGTGATCTGGAGTTGGTCCAGGGGCAGAGCTGGCATTGTGCTGCGTGACCCTCCTGTAAGGAATATGGATGGGAAGAAGAGAGCAGACACACAGACTCCTAGGGGCAGGGCCTGCTCTGGGACTGATCCAGCATCAGCATCAACTGCTGGCCATAGTGGCCTCCTATGTGGGCCTCCAAGATCTGTTAAGCATCTACTGATCCAAAATGATGGTTTTGCCTAAAGCAGTTCTCAACTATGGAGTAAAATACCTCCCAGATGACTCCTACCCACTTTAAGAAGAAGTACTGGCTAAAAGCACTTAGATCACTTTTCCTTGTTTTTATAGTGCTGGGGATGGAACCCAGAATCTCAAGCATGCTAGCAAATTTTCCATCACTGAACTATACCTTCAGTCTACTATATCACACATATTATGGCTCTAGCTCTATGAACTCAGGAGCCTGTAGGCACTATGAAGGCACTGCCCAGGGTTCTTTTTCTTACTACCTTTCCTATAACCAGCATAGGCCTAGCAGATAACACCTCATCAAATGTTTGATGAATGACAATGAAAATGCTTCTTTGCTGTGATGGGGATCCATAGCCTCATGAATGCTAGGCAAACACTCTACCACTGAGCTACATTCCCAGCACAAGGACACTGTTTTTTGTTTTGTTTTGTTTTTTGGCTTTTTTGAGACAGGGTCTCCCCATAGCCCCAGCTGGCCTAGAACTATATAGACCAGGCTGGCCTTGAACTCACAGAGATCTGCCTACCTCTGCTTCCCAAGGGCTGGGATTAAAGGTGGTGTACATAACCATACCCGCTAGGACACTCTTTTTATAATTCTTACTAGATCTTGGGTCTTTCAGAGGTTGGAATCACGGGCCTTTCATTTGTAGAGGGTGTTAAGATTTTACAACTTTGACTGGGAGGAATGAAAATAATGCAAAGATAACACTCATGTATGAAACTCTCAAAAACAATTTTTTTTAAAGTTTTTACACCTTCTCCGAGCTTTAGAGGAGGGTATGACAAACTGAAGGAAGAGGAACTCCGTAGAAATATGTCAGAACAAGTTATCTTCCACAGAGGCCCCAACTGGATTCAGAGCCAGGAGTTGAAGAGCTAGGTACAGCTCAGTGGGAAAGTTTGTGCTATGCAAGTCCCTGGGTTCAATCCCAAGCATAGAAAGAATAAAATAAAAAAGCCACAGAGTGGGCTGGGATACAGCTCAGTGCTGTTCAAGCATGAGGATCTGAGTTCAGTTCCTAGAACCCATGTAAAAAAGCTGGTTGCAGTGATGCATGCTTTTAAACTTAGCACTGGGGAGGCAGAGGCTTGCTGCCCAGCCAGACTAGCCTATTAGGCAAGCTCTAGGTCAATGAAAGACCCTATCTCAAAAAACAAAAAAAAAAGTGCACGACTTCTGAGAACAACTCCTGAGGTTGACCTTTCACCTCCACATATGTACTTGTACCCAAATATATGTGAACACACGTACTCAAAGCCAGAAGCCTGTGTTCCCATCCAGTGTGTGTGTGTGTGTGTGTGTGTGTGTGTGTGTGTGTATTTATTTATTTATTTATTTTTTTGGTCTTTTTGTAGACCAGACTGGCCTTGAACTCAGAGATCCTCCTGCTGGGACTAAAGGCATGCAACACCACGCCCAGCTAGTGCTCTTTTTTATAATACAACTGGAAGGATATATATGCTGGTTAAATGGAATGGAACTGAACTAAGCCTCTCAAAAGACAAGCCATTAAAAGGCCAGCATAGTCCCAGTGACAACATGAAGGCAAGACAGGACTAGGAGGAGGAAACTGTTATCTTTTGGGCACTTATAAACAGGATGTAGTCAGCCATTTGTTACCAGGTGTCCCCTATGTCAGATGTCAGGCCCAGTCATGGTGATATGAAGACAGACTGGCAAGAACAATAGCAATATGCTTGTTAGATATTATGTGCTCTTCTAAGTACTTTTCTTGGCATTAACTTACTTTACCTATAAAATATTTTTTATTTATTTACTTATGTATTTATGAAAGTCTTGCTATATAGGCTGGCCCTTAATTCCAGCAATCCCCCTCCTTAGCCTCCTGAGTCCTAGGATTACAGGTATGTACCATGAGTTACATCACATCTGACTCTTCTTCTCTAATTTTTATTTTTTAATTCTGAGACAGGACAGACATGTAGCTTGTATTTTGAACTCCTGATCCTTCTGTCTCAGCCTTCTGAGTGCTTGAATTACAGGTATGTGCCACCACACCTGGCTCCAGACACTTCAGTACCTACTATGTGGCAGGCATTGATGCCTAGAGAATACTAAGGCTGGTAAATAACTGGTCATGTCCTTCACAAAGTTTAGTCTTCATGAGAATAACAAACATTCAATTGCCATTCAAATAATACTCAAGTGTCATGTCTGCTGCATACGTAAGTTTCATGCAGCACTTAACAGAAATGACTTAAGGGACGGTGAACAAAAAAGAGCTTTTGAGTTTTTCACTTCAAGTATGGGTAGATAATAACTAAGCAAAGACTGGACTTTTAAGTTGCAGAAGGACACAAAGTCAAGCATACACCATTGTTATCTCCCATGCTGGGCAGGGCAGACGTCAAATGCTAAGAACCCTAAAGGGTTTTCTTTAGGACGGAAGCTTTGATAACATTCACCAGTTATAACATGGCTTGTGAGCCTCTCCGGGGCTCTCCTGTTTCTCTGACTGCCATCACTTCATTACTCTCCTAGGAAACCTTCTCAGAGGTCTAGAGTATTCACACTCCTTGTTACTGCCTATCTTTAATTGCCTTATGCATTCACCTGTCGCTGCCTGGCTCCTCCCACTAACTATAAGCTCCATGAGGGCAGGAGCTTGGTTTGTCTTGATGTTTGTATCCCGTGCTGAGGTCTACACCAGGCACGAAGGAAGCGCTCAACAAATATATGCTGAACGAATGAATGAACGCCAAGGAAACTGAAGCCTGGGAACATGAGACCGGGGCTTGTCCAAGGTCACTCTGGGAGACTCAAACCCGAGCTGCGGATTCTGGTTCTCCAAGTCTCGTGGGGATAACTCACGGCCCCTGGGGCAGCGCAAGCCTCGGCCTCGCCGTGGAGCCTGAGGACTGTGGGTGCCGAGAACGCCCGAAGCACCACCCGGCTCAACTCGAGCTCCTTCGGCAGGGCCGGGACACGCACTCACCTCGGCGGCTCCACCACTCGCGATGTGCCGCCGGTGCCGGACACGGTGACAGCTCCCGCAGCGCAGGCACATCCGGGGTCAAAAGGCGATTCCGCAGGCGCAAACAGGCGCAGGCGCAAACAGGAAGCCCCGCCCGACCCCGCCCCCGGCGCCAACTGCTGCCGGGATGCCAGGCTGAGGCCACGCCCTCATAAGATCCCGCCCCGAGTCAGCAGGGTGTGGCCCTGCCCTCTTTGTCTTAGGCCAGTCTGGCGGGCTGCGGGATTCCACCGTCTTGAAGTTCAAGGGTGGTACCCTGGACGGCGACTCAGGCTTCCACTTTCTCAGTCATCGCTTTACAATTTTCATCCAGAGAAGTTTTGATAAGCCAAAATGATAAACATGGTGTTTAGTGACATGAAGAAGGCAGATAAACCCAGTGTGCAATTTTATTTATAGAAAGTTCTAGAACAGCTAAAAAATGAATGTTAATGGGATTATGATGGTGTCTGCCAGCACACTCCACTTGTTTTTTAAGTCAGAAAGGCTAAGTATAGCTTAAGAGCAGGATGCAATTTTTCTACAGAAGTGGCTCAGGCGATGCAGAGCTAGTGGTTCCCAAGCCTGGCTATGAATCAGAGTCAGAATATTAGTCAATAATCATCCTGCTGCTGGTGGTGGGAGCCTGAGGCAGGAAGATGGAGAGTTCCATAGGCAAGACGGGTCTACATAGCAAGTTCTAAGCAGGCCAGTTTGCTTAGCTCTCAAGGAGCTCACACTGCAGGGGAAACCAAGAAAACAGCTGTGAAGCAATTCAATAAATGCAGGATACTGAGGGACTAGGAGAATGGATTCTAAACCAGACATGGGATAAGAAGGGTTTGCTAATTAGTTACATACCACTGTGTAACAAATTGCCAAAGACTTTGCAAGTTACAACAACACATGAGCTCACATTTTGTTTGGGTTGAGAATCTGAGCATGAAGCCAGGCATGGTAACCCATGTCATTAATCCTAGCACTTGGGATCTCTGTGAGTTTGAGGCCAGCCAGGTATACACAGGGAGACCCTGTCTCAAAAAAAAAAAATAATAATAATAATAATAAATAAAAAAATAAAGAAGGAAAAGAAAATAATCTGGGGCATTGCTAACTTGTTCCATTACATCTGGGTCCCCCACAAATGCCTATTTAGCATGTGGGAGGCCCTGGAATCTATTCACAATACCACACACATAAACACACATAAAAATAGACTCACTAAGTTCCAAGTTCACGTAGCTATATGCCAAATTCAGTTTCTTGAAGGCTGTTAATCTGAGGGCCTCCATTGATCTAAGATTCTCTAATTTAGTAGCTTGTTTCAAAGATGCAAACTGAGAAGACAGCAGGGAGCTTCTGGAAAGAAATAATACCTAATCATAACAACGATTTATCTTTTGCTATGTCTGCTGGTTAGAAGTAAGTCCCCTGACTACAGAGGATGACACAAGGACATGAACACCAGGGGATGAGATCAGAAGGAGCCATCTTAGAGTTGGCCTGCCATATAGAGAACACTCATCTACCCTGGGTCTGCAGCAGAGGATATAGAAGTACAGAGGTTAAGGTAGTTGGAATAGTAATGAACATATTTATTATATCTTTACTTCATCAAACACAATGGATTGTGCATTTCATATATATTATTTCCTTGATTATAAAAATTGTCAGAGGAGGGGGCTGAAGAGGTGGCTCAGCGATTAAGAGCACTGACTGCTCTTGCAGATGACCCAGGTTCAATTCCCAGCACCCACATGGTGGCTACAAACTGTCCTTAACTCCAGTTCCAGGGAAATCCAACGCCTTCTTCTGACCGTCATTGCACGACACGGGTGCACTCACATACATGCAGGCAATACACTCCTACACATAAAATGAAAATAATAAATAAAAATAATTAAAAAAAAAAGAACTGTCAGAGGAGAAGCCAGATAGAGTGGCGCATTCCTGTAATCCCAGTACTTGGGTATCTGAGGCAAGAGGACCACCAGTTCAAGGTCAGTCTGGCCTACATAGCAGGTTCCAGGTCAGCCTTGACCACATAATGAGACCCTGTTCAAAAAAGGAGGAAGAGAATTATAAGAGGTAGTAACTTGCAATCCTATTTTGTAGAGAGCTTTAGAGACTAAATCAGAGTCATAGAGCTAGTAAGTGAGTAGAATAGGGATATGACCATTCCCATCTGGCTCCAGACCATGTCTTCATAACCTTCTTATCAAGGGTCTTCCTAAGGGTCAAGAGCTAAGTTTAGGAGGATCTCAAGTCTAATAAGAACTCTGTGGCCATTTGCCACAAACTCTGTCAGGACAGTATATGCTATCATTTTTAGTCAGTCTGATCTTCTTTTGATATGGAAGGGATAGGAAAAGTGCCAGAGACTATTCTGTTTTCCTTTGTCAGCACACATTAGGCATGCAGGAAATAAAGTTTGTAGCTTGGTGATTGGTTGGGGGAAATTGTGTAGCAGCCTTTGGCACAGGGAAAATTTAAATTAGGATTTCTGGAAAAAATTAATGTGCTGTTTTCATCTTTTCATATGTGTACAAAGATACTCATATCACTGAGACCCTAGAGCTACACACCAAACTTAGAGAGAGACAAAATATATTTAATAAACACCTAACTTTGAGGATGGTAGAGTACAAGGCCTGGGTTAAAATCCCAGTACAATAAAAAACCAAAAACAAAAATAATCACCTAACTTCTCCAAGCACAGCTCAGTTTATTTTAGTTTTTTTAAAAAATATTTTATTTATTTTTTATGTGTATGAATGTTATGCCGGCATGTAGGTAAGTGCACCCGTGTCATGCAATACCCACGGAGGACAGAAAAGGCTGTCAAATCCCCTCGAACTGGAGATACACACAGTTGTTAGCTGCCATGTGGGTGCTGGGACTCGAACCCGGGTCTTCTGCAAGAACAGTCAGTGTTCTTAACTGGTCAGCCATTTAGTTTTTATGGGATCTCATTATGCTTATTATGTAGCTCAGGCTGGTCTTGAATTCACAATTTCTCTACTTCAGTCTCCTAAGTGAATGCTGAGATTATAGGCATAAGTCATCATACCTGACTCAACAGATTTCTTTTTTTCTTCAACAGATTTCTTATAAAAATTCTGAGAAAGACGGCTGGGCGTGGTGGCACACGCCCTTAGTCCCAGCACTTGGAAGGAAGAGGCAGGTGGATCTCTGTGAGTTCAAGGCCAGCCTGGTCTACATAGTAAGTTCCAGGCCAGCTCCAGGCTACAGGGAGACCCTATCTCAAAATGACCAAAAAAATGAAAAAACTCTCTTTTTTTTGAGAAAGAGAGAAGAGAGAGAGCATGTGTGTGTACATTTGTGTGTGTGCATGTGGAGGTCAGAAGACAACTTTGGGGAGCTGGTTCTCACCTTTTGCCTTGCTGAGGCAGGGTCTCTTGTGTTTCTCTAGCAGATTTTTAAAAATTAATTAATTTTATTTTATATGTATGAGTGTTTTGCCTGTAGCCATGTATGCAATGTTCACAGAGGACAGAAGAGAGCTTCAGATTTCTTGGAACTGAAGTTATGGATGGTTGTTAGCAGCCATGCATGTGTTAGGAACCATACCCTGGTCCTCTATAAGAGCAGCCAGTGCTCTTAACCACTGAACCATCTCTTCAGTCCCACTAACAGATTTCTTTATTTCTTTCTCTTTCTTTTGGTCTTTTTGAGACAGGGTCTCTCTGTAGCCCCAGCTGGCCTGGAACTCACAATGTAGACCAGACTGGCCTTGAACTCACAGAGATCCACCTACCTCTGCCTCCCAAGTGCTGGGATTAAAGGCATGTGCCACCATGCCTGGCCAGATTTCTTGATCTTTAAAAAAGGATCACTATGGGGGCTGGAGAGATGGCTTAGTGGTTAAGAGCACTGACTGCTCTTGCAGAGGACCTGGGTAAAATTTCCAGCACCCACATGGCGGCTGTGAACCGTCCTTAACTCCAGTTCCTGGGGAATCCAAAGCCCTCTTCTGACTTCTGAGGCATTGCACGACATGGGTGCACTCTCATATATGCAGACAATATACTCATACACATAAAATAAAAATAAAATAATAAATATTTTTTTAAAAAGGAGCACTATGAAACCAGTGAGGTGGCTCAGTGGGTAAAGGCATTTGCTGCCAAGCCTGACAATCTGAGTTGAATCCCTGGATCCCACAGTGTGGAAGGAGAGAACTGACTCCTGCAAGTTGTCCTCTAGTGTGCTGTGGCACATGTGAGTACATGCACATACACATGCACACAAAATAAATAAATGTAGGAAAATTTCAATAAAAATAAAGGATCCCTAATTCTCACCTCATTATAAGACTCAAATGAGATAATACAGGGAGCTGGAGAGATGGTTTAGTGGTTAAGAGCACTGGCTACTCTCCCAGAGGACCCAGGTTCAGTTCCCAGTACCCACATACAAGATAACAACTTCCATGACTCTAGTTTCAGGGGATCCAATGCCTTCTTCTGGCCTCTGGGCATTGTATGCATGTGGTACACTCACATACATGCAGGCAAAACACTCATACACACACACAAATAATAAATGAGATAATACAATGTCAAGCACATAGGAAGCTGCTGTGGTTTGGATCTGAAATATTCCTCAAAGGCCATGTGCTAAAAGCATGGATGCCAGCTGATAACATTACTAGGAGGTGGTGGAAACCTTAAGGAATGGGGCCTAGATGGTAGAAGCAGGTCACCAGAGGGTGTGTCCTGGAAGTATGTGTTTCGTTACTAGCAGCACCCCCCTGCCCCCGCCCCCAGGCTTCCATGAGGGAAGCAGCTCTATTCCACCTCACCATGATGTTCTCCCTCAACACAGGCCCAGGAACAATGGAACCAAATAACCATGACTAGAAACCTCTGATGAGTAGATTTTCTCAGGTATTTTGTCATAGTAACAGAAAGTTGACTAATACATAGGTACTCAAGAAATTTTAGTGGTTAAGAAGGAAGCAGGAGGTGGGGGAAGAAGAGAAGGAGGGGGAAGGGGAGGGGAGGAAGGGAGGGAGAAAGGACAGAAATAAGGAAGGCAGAAGGGAGGATATAAGGGAG